TTTTTTTTTTTTTTTTTTTTTTTTTCCTTCTAAGTTATATCTGAAGCGTGTGAACACGCAGCGCCCTTCAAAACATGATCAGCCTTGGCCCTGCGGTTGAGCTGAAAGCCGGGCAGTTTGAAGCCGGTTGTGGTAGGCCACTGCCATAAAACCAAACGCTGGCACCGGACCCTACCTGAGGAGATAGTCCCAGCCTGATGGGACACAACCCTGGGCACCTCGGACCCTGCTTGAGCTGTGGCTTTTGTCGGTGTACAGGTATGCTTCCCCCTCTCCACAGTTCCTGTGACACGCCAGAGGCCAGAGCATAATGTTTCTTTTGGGACAGAAAAATCCAGCTGTCCCTCACGTCTTGCAGCCTCCTGCCCTCCTTCAGCCTCACCTGCCTGAAGAACAAAGTTCTCCACAACCCTGCTCTGTGGGGACTCCATCTGCCTCTCCTCCTGCACAGTTCAATCTATTTCATCTTTCTTAAAACAATCTCTTGTCAAACAGGGACATTAGAACCATACATTGCTTTGACATACACCAGGTTTTCGCATCCAGTGTGAACTGTGTTTGATTCAAACGTTCTTTTCAAAGCAGGTATTTGTCCCAAATACACAACAATTAATTTTTTAGTATACATGCTTTGTGTAATTTCACATGCCCTATGTACAGTTTTTGCGGAGAATGTTGCTGCTAAATCAGGAAGTTAAGAAAAAGCTTGAAAAATCAAAATTACACCAAATTTACACACTAAAAAGGAGACGGGCATCTTTTTTTTTTTTTTTTAAAGGCAACCAGTAATAATAAAAAATTGCAACTAAGGGACAAAGCCAAGCCTTAACGGCCACATAGTTAAGTGGAAAATATTTCTGCCACCAAAACCATCGTCCTGACCTATGACATCAGAAATTATTTGTTTTCAGTTTGCCCTTCAGAAAAACAGGCAATCCATAATAAAGCTTTAAATTAAAACAGTACGAATCTGTGGTGAGGAACCATGAGGATAAAATGTGATCCCACATTAATTCCCAGAGCCTTACAGCAGCACACAGGAAGATCTCCAGGCGGCATCCAACGGAAGATCAACTCAAAAAGCAGATTTGCCATAAACTCTGATGACTGTTTTGCATGCTAAATTTATCTTTCATATAAAACGTTTTTCAGGTCAATCCCAGACTCACCAGAGAGTCCCATCCCGTGAAGGACACGTTGCCCTCCACTTGTGGAGTCTGTGTGCTCACACTGTCAGTTTGTCTCCCGGCGTGGGAACACAGACTCTGTTTAATTCCCATCGGAAAACCTTTGATATTTCAGTAGGTTTTACTACAGTTTGGTTTCGAGATTATTTTTCCTGTTTTACTGTTGGAGAAACCCCCGAGGGCCCTGTGCATTTTACGGTTATTGGTACCTGACACATTAATCAGATGATGGTGCCTTTGAAACACAGGACACCTTTTTTTTGGTCAACTATCATCATCATAAAAGAGCAAGTACTTGCTGAAGCACAATGTGGAGAGCAGTGAAACACGTAGCTATTGCAGGCATATGGAAAACCACCTTTGTGTGTACTACCACAAGCCCCACGTTACAGGCAAAGTGTCTAAAATACACAGCTCAGACGCAGAGGAGATGACAGTTACTACTCACAACAAGGACTTTGCAGCTGCCTGGTGGGGATTGCTGTAAAAGCAGTGCTGTCCCTTACAGACACCAAAGGATGTCATAGGATGGAGCTTGGGACCAGCTCTGGGTTTTACAAATGGCATTAATGAGGGTGTTACTGTAAAAGCTGGCAGAGGAGCTCTCTGAGACTTTTTGGAGTTTTAGAAAGCAGCCAATCGTTATTGCAGGGCTTGATGCATGGGGGATCATTCCACCTGATGTGCATATACAAAAAGAAATGTTCATCCTTTATATACCTTAAAAACATGAATATTCATGTGTTTTCCAGGAAGTTTCCACCTTTCCACCTATCCCATGTACATCATGCTGGTGTTGCAGAACTACACTGTACATGAGTAGGAGTCTCACTTGATGTTGGTGGTTGTCTGGGGAGTTAGGACCCTGTTTCTTTTTCCCTTTTATGTTCTTAAGTCTTTTGAGGACAATTTCTTCTCCTTGGATGTTTCCCAACTCTGTTATCCAAAAGTTGTTCTTTCTTATCTGCCTTGTTTGAGCATTTCTGCCAGGATGTATCTGTTCTTGAGGTTAGGGTATCATCTCTGTATATTTTCATCACTCAGGCCTTGTTATGTACAAAGTTAAACATTGTTTGGTAAAATAATTTCTTCATACCCCCCCCCTTTGAGCCTTGCAGGTGCACACATCTGGGTACAACAGATGATTGTAACACGCCTCAACTGGCAGGCACCAACTGCTCGCCGGCATCAAGGGAACATTAAGGATTTTTTTAAAAACGCTTAAAGTTTCTGCTTTTTTTTTATTTTCCTGGTCTACTCGGTGATACTATTTTAAAGATGCACAAGTAGAACTTTAAAAATCAATCACGTTAAAGCTTTAGACCGGAGCTGGGTGGGAGGGCATTGCAAAGCGAAGCAACTATCTCCTGGTAGGCGGGAAAAACCCAAGTTTAAGTGTATAGATTTAAAAAAAAAATAAGCATCTCCGCAGCGCCAGGAGGGGGGGGTGAGAGGGGCCGGGCCCTGAGGGCATTTCCCGCCTCCTGTGAGAAGACGAGGCTCCGCCCCCTCGCGGGGCACCGCCCCTGCGCATGCGCGTTGCCCG